ATAAAACCAAGAAAATATTTTTAATTAACACTTAAAGAAAATATTCTTATTTAGATTACGCTGACACTTCTCAATACTTCCTTTTTTCTGCTATTTATAAACATGTATTTTTCCTATGAGTTTTTTTGAATCTTCACAGAATATGACACAAGGTTTTGTGCATGATGACTCTCGTTAGTTGCTGTCCTGTTGACTTCAGCTTCTAGAGGTTTATCACAAAATGAGCATTGCTGTTTTGTGACATCAGCATGATTTTTCATATGTTTGAGCACATTGTTACAGTTATTGTGTCAACCTATCACTTTGAAAATTTCCCTTATTTTCACTGATCTTTTTTACTTTTACATAAGAATATCTTTTTGTAGTGATTAGTCATTTCTGATTATATTTTCATGCAAAGAAGTGAAGTATTGTTATTGTAACCTCTGAGACTCCTTACATGACAGAATAGAACTGCCCCAAAGAGTTTACAAGGCAGTAATCTCTATGAAATAAAATTGTCACATCTTTCTTCTGTAGAGCTGCTGGTGGATTCAAACCATTGACCTTTTATTTAGCAGCTGAGAACTTAGCCAATATATCACCAGGACTTAGCTCTCTTGGTAGCCAATTGAAAAGTCATTATTCTTTCACAACATCACAATTCAAATACATCAATTCTTCTGCCTTCTTTGTAAAAATTTTAATTTCATAGGCTTTGTACGTACATTGAGAAGACCATGTCATTGGTCAGGCACACTTTAGTCAAATGACCATTTTTGGTTTGTAGAACTTTAAAGAGCTCTTTTTGCAGTACAGTTGCCCAATGCAATGTGTTATTTGAATTCTTGACTGCTATTCCATGGCTGTTGATCCAATTAGAATGAGTGAACTTACTGATACTTCCAAATTTTCTCCATGTATCGTATTTACCATACAATTGTGAGGACTTTAATTCTTTCACCCTCAAGTGTTATCCGTACTAAAAGTCGTTATCTTTTCCCTCTATCAGTAGATTCTTCAAATTGTCTTCATTTTTAGCAGGCAAGGTTATATCATCTGCACATTAAAGATTATTTTTTCTTTTTTTATTATTATTATTTTATTTCATTATTTTTTTGTGTGTACCGTCAAATCAGATCTGACTGGTACAGGAGGAGATTGTTCCTCCTTCTCCAGCCGAGCGTCTGGTGGATTCGAACCGTGGATCTCTGAGATTGCAGTTGCAACTTCTTGCCACTAGGCCACCAAAGCTCGCCACATTAAAGATTATTAATGACTCTTTCTCCAATCCAGAATATAGTAACTAGTGAATGACTATTAATAAAATTTTTAAGAAACAAATTTTTTCAAAGTGTTACAATAGCAGATAACATTTTATATCTGAAATTTTTCTAATAAATTCATTTTATTGATCTAAAGTGTTCTAGAGATACAATGTAACTCAAATTCAGATCTCATTATTATTCTTCAAAGAGATGGAAAAAGTAATCACCAAATTTTAGGGAACATGATCTCAAATAAGCAAAGCTTTTGTAAAGAAGAAAAACAAAAGACCTTACCCTTCTTGATCTCAAACCCTATTATACATCCACAGCAATAGAATTGAAAAGAAATAAATAAATTCACCTAAGGACAGTTGATTTTTAATAAAAAGATCAAATCTATTTACTGGATAAAAGACTACTTCTCTAACAAATAATGCTGACAAAAACTAGATAGCTATGTGCACAAAAATTAAAATAAGATCCATACTTCATACAACAGTAAAACAACAACAAAAACAAACACTAATGCAGGATCAAGTATCTCAGTGTAAAATCTACAATTACAAATGACATCAAAGGAAAATTGGGACAAATTTAGGAGCCCTAATCTGTGGTACAATCAGCAGAGGATAACCAAAATGACTGGAACCTTCTGGAAATCAAATTCTTATGTACACAAAAATTTCCTAGTAGTAAGGAATTGAGCTGTCAGCCCAAAATCTGCCAGCTGCTCTGTTTCTTAAAAACTAATGGAGCCCAAAGAAATAATTTTTCTTTTACTTTTCAAAGAGAGATGTGAACTTGCGGGGGGTGGGGCAGGGAGGGCTGGACAGGGAGAAAAGTGCAACAATGAATGAATGGAAATCCCAAATCTCTGTAAATGTTCATTAAAATTAATTAAAAAAATGGAGGGTCAGCTATGAGTTGGTCTCGACTCATCAGTACACAGCAACACCAACAAAAATATGTATTGAGAGACTTCTCCAAAAGTCTAGTAACCAAATGTACAAGCTGGGAAAGAATGTTTAGTAATGACATACTAGAAAAAGAACTAATTTCTTTTTTTTTCTATAATTATATTTTATTAATTTTCATAAACATTTACAGAGATTTTGGGCTTCCACTCATTCATTGTTGCACTATTCTCTCTACCCTCCTCCCAGTTTGTTCTTGTCCAAATGCCACAGTGCTTGTCAAAGCCAGTTCTGATTAATCTTCTTTGTCAGTGTATCCTTTGCCATTCCCTATCACTCCTCCCTGAGAGAGACTTCACCCTGAGTCATAAGGAAAAGGGGACGGCGTATTCTCTTAGCTACTTCCTGCTGAAAAGGGACGCTGTGGGTTTCAGGGTGAAGATCTTCTCTCACTACTCTAAAGGGCCCCTTTGGCAGTAAAATGAATATATAACTCCAAAAGCTCAACAAGAAAAAGAAATATAACCTAAATACAAAATGGGTAGAGGATTTGAAGAGATACTTCACCAAAGAAGATGTTTAGACAGCCAACAAACACATGAGGAAATTCTCATGATTATTGGAAAGATGTAAATTAAAAACAGCGGAATATCACTGTGCTGAGATCCGCTCTTGGGGATGTTACCTTCACTTTGCTGCAAGACACAAAGGACTGTGTGGCATGGCTTGCCTGTGAGTGTCTTCCAGCCATGGATTCCCTAGCATCTACGAAAGGCTATAGTCAACCCAAGTACACTCATGTGCTGGCTGGAGACACAACCACTACTTGCCAGGTGGAGGGATGGCAGTTTTAGATTTCAATCCCTCCCAGAGCACTAGATTTCTGCCCCTGCCACCTGGAGACCCTATTGTCCCTGCTGTCCACTGCCAGAAGCACCAATATCACAGGTACCAATGGAGTGAAACATTGTTGTCTAGCTACATCATGTGGTATTTCTTAAGCTCAAAAGGAAGAGGCCAGGTAGAGGCATGGTTTCAGGAGGCAAAGTCATCCCCCTCCTGGTTGACTGTTCTTCCCAAGAGGGGAGCACCAATTACAGATACTTCACTAAACATTGCCATACCCTGGATCATTATATAGTTACAACAACCCAGTATCTACTAAGAAAAGAATCACAAATGTCAAGAAAGCAGCAGTCTGCCTCAGTCAACATGAAAAAACAAAGTAAACTTTCTCATAAAAAGTCAGACCCAATGAATACCCCAGTGATGGAGCTGGAGCATAGCCGAAGCACAGCCATCTTGGGAGTATAGTCTGCACACGGATGTACTCCAGGCACCTATCCAAAAGACCGGTCTAAGGATAGAGTGTGGGAAGAAACTTATTTTCTAGATTCTGCAAACAGACAAAAAACAGACTTGAGTCTTGCAAACGAGCTCAAGAAAAGTAACTCTTCCCGATAGATGAATATTCCTTTGTTCTCGGCTGTTGCGCAGCAGTTGCAGTTATACTAATTACAAAGTTCTAATCAAAATTGGGAAGGGTGTACGCCAGGGATGCATCCTGTCTCCATACCTTTTCAACATGTATGCAGAGCAGATTATCCGAGAGACTGGGCTCTATG